GAAAAGTAAAACTCATAGGCTTTTATTGTGCTTAAACCTTTAGAAGTTTAAAATATTCCTCAAACGTGACTTTAGCCAACTGGAGCTGTGGCATTAATGCAAAGAAGATCCAAAAGAACTCCACCCTCCATGGCATCAACTCACTTCTGAAAGACACATCTGTTACAGGCCCTGGAAACACTGGCTGCGCGTGATAGGAAAGATAACTTTACATAGAAAAATCATTAAAAACAAAACAAAAACCTCTGAAGCTCTGCCGGTTTTCATTGACTGTCTTCTCCCATTTCCCATCTGTTTTTAGTTTATTTAGACTATAAGCTTCTCAGAGGGGCATTTTTTTCCTTTTTCTTTCTAAAAATTAAGTTTGCTTGTTGCTGTTTGAATTATAAACTGTTTTAGGGAAGGCCTTTATTACTGTTACCTCGTGTACTTTTTTTTTAACAAATGTTTCTCATGTTGCTAACAGTTTGTGCTTTGCAGAAGTGCCATGCTTTAGGTTTGGTAACTCCTGGGTTGATATTCAGTAACCAAGGCCTTCAGCTTTTTTATGTTTTTCTCCAGTGAGTAGATGAATAATGTCAGATGATTCTAAAATTTTTTTGTTCAAATTGCATGGCAATTCATCTGGAGTATATGGAAATACTGTTTCATTATTTGAGAAAATATAAACAAAGGGTAATATCTGAGTCCTACTGTCAATTTTCATCCATCTTTCCAGTAAGTGATATGTATTTAAAATCTCCTTAGGTCTGACTAAACATCCATAGAACTGAATATAGTGTTCATTCTTCAGAACAGCAGCTCTGTAGAGAATATTTTGAGCTTTAACAACTTTTTTAGGCTTTAAAAAAAATGTATTTCCAGTGATGTAAATTCCTTCTGCTGATACTCTTAGCCTGCTTTGAGTGACAATTTTCAGCTTCACCTAAACTTATCACTGGCTGATGGTGGCCAAATTGGAAAAGGTCACTTGTACATAAAGTGCTTTTGTAAGCTGGCTTATCTTCTTTTAACTGTGATGAAATTTATTTCATAGGCTAAATAGATTCAATTATTATAGTTAAACACAACACAGCCCTTGACTATTAAAGAATGAGGCATAGTACTGTTATGCATGGGGTTTTGTTTTATCTTTTATTAACTGTCCTTCACAACCCTGGTCAGCTTGTCAGGCAGTTACATAAAATCAGGAAAGTGTAATCATCGCTATTTGGATGGATTCGGAAACCGTGGGGTTAGTCAAGCTGATAGAACTTCTCCTCCAAGCTGATTGGTAATTTGGTGCACATGGTTATGAGGGGAGTGCTATACGTTTCTCACCTCTCAGAAGTTCATCTGCAATATCAGAGCCGACTGCAGTTGTATTTTCAAAAGGAGCTCCCAGATGTCTGATTGGTGTGGTGTTGGCACTGACAATGGAGGCTCAAAAGCCAAAGTATGTGAGTTGCTAAGCAGAGGTTTAAGTTGCAGTTTGGAGCTTTTATTGCTCAGGTCCCTCCTAGATCAGGTGTTTCTTGTTGGAGGAGGTGAGGAAGAATGTTGTGTGCAATGGATTACAAAATCTTAGTGTTACAGTGTAGAGATCTTTCTGCAACAAGTCTTAATAGTTGCAAAATCAAAAATTGTTGAGGCTCTGTCTAAGACCTATTTTAAGGTCTGTTGGTCTGTTCGCATTAAGTCAAAATAAACAGTTCTTTTAATTCCTGTTGTAAGATTAATGCAACTCTGGGAATACTTTGTAACTTTTGTTGATGAACCACAGTAATTAATTAAAGCTTTGCCAAACTCTACAAAAATAATGCCAAAATGCCTATTTTTTAGTATTACAGATTTAACTTGCAAGTCATGGAGTCAGGCTAGTTAAACCAAGTCTTGTAGGTAGTGAGAAACAAAGTACAGTTTCCTTACAGTTAGTTTCTGAGTAGAATGGAAAGGAGAAAATTCTTTAAACAGAGAAGTTTTTGTAACGAAGCAGAATTTATAAGCTGTTAACCTTTTAAAACTGTCACCCCCTTTGTCCCTCAAACCATTTCAATTCTCCAGAAGGTCTGTTAAGGAATATATGCTGCTGGTTTCTATTCCTTTCTCTCGAAATTGTTTTTGTGGCGGACGCTTTCTGGATTTGAGTGCCATCTTGTGGTGCCTTGTAAGCATGTGAGGAAAGGTAGTAACCCCCCTCCCATTATTAACCTGGAAGGATTTGATTAGTATAGACATGTACCAAGTTGTATTTACCATGGAAAAATATTCATTGTATAGTGATCTGAGATTGCTACTTTGTGCCTAAAATTTTCATCAGCTCATTTTATTTACTCAATGTGTGGCATATGGAGTGAGCCCTGAAAATTTTACGGCTAAACCAGATTGTGGTAGCCTGCTAGCTGTGTTAATATGCTACATCTTCTCATGAACTTCTCATTAATGGTGATCTATAGTGAATTAAAATAAAAAAATCTTGGCAACATACAGGTGAACTTCAATTCTGTACTGTTAGTTTCTTTGCTGTAAAATTCGTATCAGTGGAGAAGCTTAAATCCTCTGGTTTAAATGACAACAGAAAATATTCAATCATAAATCCAAGCTGGGAAATTAATCTTTAAAAAAAAAAAAAAAGTGGATAAAGTGGTGCTCCGCCATTTAAAACATCAAATCATTATTTGCATTGGAAGTAGATTTAGCATAAACTGTGCAGATTGTTTTACCTCGTCTATACTGGGTGAGTATGGGACACAAGATATAGCAGTAATACTTTACATTGAATATTTTCTGCCTCTGCAACTTTGAGCCTATTTCTTTACTATAGCAGGGCTAAAGCCAAAAGGAAGGTTGTAAACTTTTTTAGTTGTATAGATTGACTCCCAAAATTATAACAGTACAGCTTATGTGAGTGCACATGTGTGTACACACATGTACACAAAAGCTCCCAATGGCTTAAAGGATGTATAAAGGAGGTTTCATCCGTAAAAGTAGTTTCAGTTAAAGGTTTGGTACAGAAATGTCCTCAAGCTAACAAGAGCATAGGTATCTTACTAAGATCTCATTTACAACAAACAAAATTTGCTAACATAGCACATATTTAAAAGAAAAATAAAATATTAGAAGAGCTGGGGGAAGGGAAAGCTCTTTTGTATTCCCTTGGTTGCAAGATTGCAAGCAAGCTGATGCAACTTCGTGGACCATTAGTATCAAAGGTTGCTAGTACAACTAACAAAAATCATGTGGACATCTGATCTTTGTTGCTGGTTGAGTCAAAAGTCAATGAAGCAGGTTAATGCAGTCTCTCTGTCTGAGTTTAGGAGGAGAGAATGAAACCAAAATATTTCCTATGTTTGATACAGTAAATAAATGTCAATCTGGGAAGAGAAAACCTGAGAATGAAGAAAAATAATAAAAAAACCCCAACCTGCCCAGATGGAAAACTCATTCTAGTTTATGGAAGAAAAACCCCTTCATCTTTTCAGTGATCATGCTAAAACCAAATGCATCACACAAAATGGGTATGGCCAGATAATGCTGATCGTTATCTCAGTGCTTGTAGCTAAAGGGCTAGCAGTCATCTCATACTTATTAAAAAAAAAAAAAAAAAAAAAAAAAAAAAAAAAAAAAGAAAAAAGCGGGGTTAAGGTAGCTAGATTAATCACTTAAAAAAACCAAACCCTCTTTAAATTCTTAATTCTTGATGTAGATCTGCTTGCTTTACACAGTATGACTTTCTGCTGTAGCATAACTTACTCCCATTTTAAGCCCATGTTTAATGATAGATGTCTTCGCTTTTCATAGCAAGTGGATGTCATAACTATTAACTTTAAACATTGTTTAGTGGTATCTCTATGAAGATAACAGAAGAGAAAAAAAACCTTCAAGTGCTGCCCTTGCCTGGATACTGCTGACATGTCAGCCTGTGTTTCTTTATTGACACTTTCTGCACCTTCTGCTGGACAAGTGCCAGCCTGGAACATTGTGTTTTCTCCATGAAAGAGCTGTTAGTCTTAGAGGAACAAAACCAAAGTTCTCGCCTATAAAAATAAGCAGAAGAACTTACAGAACTGCAGAATATAAACTACCAAGTGGGGTATTGGCACTTTGTGCTCTGTAGCTATGGAAAAAAAGAAAAGGATTATTTTTACATTTCTTTAATTTGTGAATGCATGTTGTGCAAATGAATTAATTTATCAGAGAACAATTAGAACCCGTCAAGAAGTCACCAAGACTGATCACTTTTGAAACAAAACAGACATCTGGATTTCACTTCTTGTATGTTGTTTTTATTTTTGTCAGTATAGAAGAAAAAATTAAGTGAGTGCTGTTGACGTACTTGAAGCTGATAGTATCTTCAGATTGTGTTGCTGACGTTCTTTTGTGGGTTTGGTGGGTTTTCTGAAGTTATTCAGAACATGTAGATTTGTAACCATATTCAAGCAAAACCTAACAAAACCTTCTGCAAGAAAATGCTTTTAAAATTACTGATTTTTAACCTGAGATACTGGGGACCTTTTACCTTTTTAAAAAATAAATTATGTTACTATAATGATTTCTGCACTGTATTTACAAAATCGCTACTGTTTCAACAGTTCTGGAAAGAAAAAAATTATAAAATATATTGGAGGTTTTAGAATAGATTTGCATTTATAAGTTGAGGTGAATAGCAGCAGGAAAGCACTGTCACCACCTAATCTACTGTACCTCTTAAATGATTTATAAACCCAGAAATATTGAAATAAGGCCATATAATTATTCTGTCATCAAGATATCTCTGTCGCATGCAGTTTCTTTATATTCCTTTTTAGGACTTTCATAGGGGTAACATTAACTGCAAAAATGACCTAAGTTACATATAAAAACATGAAGGGAAAAGCATTTTATATGACATCACATAATCAAGATTTATGCCCTTTTTGTTTTTTCAACATTAGTGTATCACCTATTACTCTTGTTTTTTTTTTTTTTTTTTTTTTTTTTTTTTTTTTTTTTTTTTTTTTTTTTTTTTTTTTTCTTCACAGATGATACTTTGGGATTGGGATTTGAAGCAATGGTACAAGCCCTATTACCAGGTCAGTATATTATGAATCTAATTTTTCTTTTGTGCGATGTGATTGAGTATAAAGTTCACTGTACACTGTCAGATTTCCGTTTTTCTGTTGATGTTTTATTTACCTAAGTTGTCCTAGTACACTGTAGCTCTGTGTAGCAGAGGCTTGATTTTTTGCAGTTCTGACCAAGTTCACAGGGATCTGCTTTCTGTGGTGTATATAAGAACAGTCTCAAACCTAACTAAGATGGGAGTGTTTTGTTTTTTTTTTTTAAATATCCATTAGCATAAGGTTAGGGAGTGGTTGCCCAGCAGTGTCACCAAACTCAGGTCTACCAGGTTCTCACCTTTTTTCTTGATTAGTTTTTTTCACCCCCTCTCTCTTGTATCACTGGTGGCATCTGATCAGCTACTGCTGTTCCTTTTTAAGAGAATTACATTAAATAAAAACCAATCACCTTTTTGTCAGAATTGTTAGGATTTGTTTCAGTAGAATCAGGGTTAATAAAAGTAATCAAGCTGTGGAAATTGCACCTCTACAAGGGGCTTATAACAGTTTGACCAACAAAATTTCTGTTGATACTATTGGAAGAGAGAGACTACCAAATTTAATCTGAGACAAAGTAATGAAAAAGTTGAGATTAAAAAAAAAATGGCACCAGGTCTTTATTTTAAATAGAAAAAAAGAAACTGAAATCTAATATTGAATTCTGAAATATTTTTTGTGTGAAAAAATACCAGCAAAAATTGGTGTCTGGATGTCTATATGTATGTATTTTCTTTGAAAGAAAAATATATCGCTTTGATGTTTTTAGTTTATTTTTTAAATTTGCAATGGATAAGATGCTTATTTAAAACTTATAATACTGTGAAATGTTTTTCAATGTTAATAGTTTGCAACTTTTCTATCTATTCTAGAATGCTGGCAGTGGAAATGGAGTTGATCTCTCAGTACTAAATGAGGCTCGGAGCATGCTAACAGACCTCCTGACTGACCCGTCCCTCCCACCACAAGTGATTTCTTCCCTTCGAAGCATTAATAGTTTGATTGGGGCTTTCTCAGGCACATGCAGGCCAAAGGCTAGTCCGTTCACACCATTTCCTGGTTTCTTTCCCTGTCCTGAAGTAGAGGATCCTGCTGAAAAAGGAGACCGAAAGCTGCTCAAGGTCAAATGACTTCTGTTTACGTTCAAGTGTGTTGGCATTTAAAAAAAAATAATTATCAAGGAAAATTCATCTGGAAACAATGCTTCTGTATGGGTAGTAGCTTCTTTACTGAGTACCTGTGAGCTACATTGAAGGTAAAAAGAGAGCAGCTGTGAAAACACATTGAATGAAATGTAGATAAGTACCAAAATGCAAATTCAAGTGGTTGATGGTTAGACAGGTAAAAGCACTGGTCTGCACTCTGAACTTACGATTGTTTGAAATAAACACAGGATTAAAAAAAACTCAAAACAAATATACAAATGAAGATGTTATATTCTCATGATATGGCACAAACAGGTCTGTTCTTGATTCTGCCACATTCTTGATCTAACAATTACTCTGTGTGACTTTTTCATTGACCTTTTTTTTCCCAAGAAATTTACTCTTGTGAACATCAAACTAGCCATCAGACAGAAGCACATCAGCTATATAAAAGGATATATGTAGCACATCATGTTATGAGACTACTATGTAATCTGCTGTTACTTCTCCATTATACAGGGTAAATAAGTGAAAGCAAGAATATAGTTACTATATGACACATTAAGGAACATGGTGGAAAAACGTTCAGATTTAGTAACTCAGCTGCAGTGCACCAGAGCTCATAATTCTGGGGTAGCCTGGTATTGACAGCTTGAGGCTGCTTATTGTGGAGGCTGGTCTGGGATGTCCTGGCCCTGTAGTTGCTTCCATCTCTAGGCAGTGGGCAGCTTGGCCTTGAATTGATCAACTTGTTGGCTTAGTATTTTGGAGCCAGATAAACTGCCTCAAGCCAAATTCAGGCTGTGAAAGTGTTTGTTGGGAACCATTGTCACAACAAATGCTTTTTAGGAAAAGCTCAGTGTCTACAGATTACTCTGTGGAAGATCCTGCATGATCATTTCAGTATGAAATTCCTTGGAATGTCACATGAATATCTGCAGAAATCAGTTGGGTAGGGATCGTAATAATTCAGCATATGTTTTTCTTTATGGATCTTTTTGAAAACTACTAAGGATTGGTATACCAATGTGAAAAATATAATTTATGTGAATGTAAAAATGTAACAGGATATTTTAATTTTCTCTATAGCTAGTCAGAATTGTCTGAAATGAAAAATAATCATTGCTGAAGACTGATTGTAAAGATTATGTGAGAGTGAAAGATTATATTTTTCACAGCTGTTCTCTTTTCCTCCTTCCTAAAAGTAACTTTTCCTTTTTAAGTTCATGTTTTTTTCTGTATATTAATTTACCTGGTGGTTAAAATAGTGCTTGTCACTATCATTCAATGAATGTTTGATTTGGTATATGTTTAGGGGTTAGCCGAAAGATCTACCCCTATCTATGTTACTGTAAGAAAGAAAAAGATTTCTTATTCTTTCAAAAACCAGGTAAGTCAGCACAAACTCCAAATTATGACACTTCAAAGAAAATGATAAGAAAGTATTTCTTCAAAATGGGACCTTTCAGACTATACTGAAAGGTTACCATTCTCTCTTTCCCTGACTTGAAATCTGAAAGGTCTCATCCATATTTCAAACAAGTTTTTTCTTTGCTGTGGATTATGTACATCTTTATTTGTCTTCCGTGACTGGCTGCCAAAGTGCCTTCAGTTAATAGGGTTTTTTTCTACTTCTGATGGGGAACTACCTGTTCTCTTTGGTAGGAAAAAAAAAAAAAAGAAAAAACAAGGAAAAGGAAGAAACTGAAACTGGGCTTCAGACCTTGAGCTAGCAATAACTGGCTATCTAATACTAACTCTTCACTCAGAGTGAAGAATTTCTTTGTAGTCAACAACTTGGGAAGCATAAACTGCCCAATTGGTGCTAATCACTGATGAGTCTCCTTCCCTTTTTCCTAAAAAAAGGAAAAGGAAATCTTAGACAAAAGAATCTCAGGGCTCTACTGCTCTGCAATAGAAAGACTTTTCACATCCATCATGACAGAACTCTCCCCAGATTTCCTAGTGTATGACAGTAGACTTCTTGTCAGATTGGTGGATTTCTAGTGCTGCCTACAGTCATGACTTTTAACAGTTCTCACACTTGAGGCAAGTAAAAGTGATCTAGGATACTTGAGTATCCACATCCTTTGTCTACTGGCCTTGCTATTACTGCTAACAGAAAGTCTTTGCGTAATAACTTTCTGGCACAGTCTAAATTTTGTTTCCAGAACAACTTTTCCCCTTTGTATAGTGATTACCAGTGACTTTGCTAGCATAGAGTGATCTGGAGTTCCTTAGTCATTTGCTGCCCATGTTTTGTTTATTCTCTGCTTCTTTACCTAGTAGGGGAAAGTTCTGGAGATTTGTCATATCCCCAATGTTCCCTCATTCTTAGAGTAGCCCCAAGAAAGAAGAAAAGGTAAGTGCAGGTGCTGGGGCCTTCTTTCCATATCATGCTATCATACGCACTTGTTTTGGGTAGTGAACCTTTCTCCTCTGGTGTTGGGGATTTTCAGCTCTGCTCCTCACGTTGTAGAGAGCATGCAGGTTGGTTTGATGTGGTCTGTCCTAGCCTGAGAGCACTACGACTGAATGGTACCACCCCAGAAACACTCCTCCAGTCTTTCTGGTAGGGCCGGTCAAGGATTTCTGCATGTTTCTGTGGGTGATATGGACAGTCTGATTCTGCCTGTCCAGTTCCATGTTTCTGGCTGTGACTACAGCTTTGCAGCAAAGCCAGCAGAGTCAAGGTACATTCCATACCAAGGACTCAAAGCAGTCTGATTTTTCAGGGTAAGAGTCTGTACACTTTTGTGTCAACACTGTTTCCTTTTTTTTTTTAAATACGTAATAGCTTTGTGAGTTAAGTATGATCTTTGACCACCTGATGAAACTTAAAATTGCAAAGTCATTATTTCTGCCAGACTTCTGAGGTGGTAGTATCCAAGGGTCACCTGTCCTCACACATGACCCTGCAGACCTTGCTCAATACTGCAAATATTGCTTTGGATTTTTTGTCTTAAACATTTTTTTTTTCCTGGCATCCTTTTCACTTTGCAAGGTCTGATTACACACATTTGTATTAAACAAAAGAATCTTACTCACCTACCCTCCCTCTGTTGAATGGACAAATCTAGGGATAAGTTAAGTAGATTGTGGACTGAATACAGTCAGAGAGAGAGAATGTTTTTTTAAAATTTGTTTAAAATACAATGTATAGGTTATCTAGGTTATCTGTGGAGTAGATGTGGATACACCAGAGCTGGCATTGCAGTTTCAGTTCAGTGATCCTTTCTATTAGTTAGGTTCTACTCGTTGCTATTTAAATATGGATATACTTTTCTGTGGATATTTCAGTCAGAGCTAGTAAGTCCTGAGTTATTTCCATACAGGACTGTTTGAGCGCTGTTGCCCTGCTTTGCAGAGGGCTTTGTGTTCAAGTACAGTGGTGGTTCCTGGTGTTTAGGCTGCAGTGTGCCTAAACTAACACAGCTTCCAAGGCTGGGAGTGGTGAGGTGCCTGGGAAGCCTCCTGAGTGCAGTAGGGCTGGTATGGAAGCAGAGATGGAGCCTTGACTGACCCTGTGCATTGTGCATCACCCTTTCCATGAGTTCCACAATACTTGCACTGTCAATATCTGAATTATCAAAATCTCAGGCTATCTTGAGAACTGGAGAGCTGACTATGTAGTCATAGGATTGGGCTGCGCGGAAAAAGAATCTGTAATCCTACAGCAACTATCTCTAGAAGATCTCAAATTTTAAAAGCTCTGAAGAGTAATTGTTGGGCTGTATGAATTTCAGAGTACAAGTATTTTTACGTATTTTAATTTGGGGAAAGAAAAAAGAGAGATGAAAATTAATTATTCCTAGTAAGCAAAATAATTTGATTGCATCTTTTTTTATTTTTTTGAGAAATAGGCGTGAATGTAAGATACCACACTTACTGTTTCACTATAAAAAATTAACAATAAATACTCTTCACAAACAATAAATAAATTTTTTATGTCTGTTTTTAATTATATAGATTTTAACCATGGTTAAATTACTCAACAGGGATTAAATAGCAGGAATAGCCTGCCAACACCACAGCTGAGACGAGCTTCAGGAGTTTCTGGAATTCCACCTATAGAATCAACAACATCATCTAGATGGGAAAGGAGTAACAGCAAGAGATCTCATCAGGAATGTAATACATCAAGGTGAACATTTCACCATATTTTAAGTGCGATAATAAATGTAGCCCTTCTAAAATGTTCATGTCTGTAATATTGGAACTTGGCAGCATAAGTATTTTATGTAAAATCTTGTGAATTAAGTCTCCAGATTCTGCCAGCATAAACTGAAAAATGCTTCAAGTTAATTATATACTATGTAACTGATCTCAAGTAGAGGTCAGGTCATTCTGAGGTTGAATGGCATGCTCTCTCATAATAAGTAGGCCTGCATATCAGTTTTAGTAGGAAACAAAAGAAGTCCAACATACACGATTGCAAAACAAACTAGTTTAACCTCTAAACCTTTACTAACTTCCTCCTTCTCCTTTTTAATTAAAATATGTATTACTTTCCAACTTCCACCCCCCAAAATTTGTTTTCTAATTAAAAAGATGATACAACTTTCTTGCATTTGATAGCCACTGTTGTATGTATTGCAACATTAATTGTTCCTATGGTCATCAATCAAGCAGTAAGGTAGATTGAGTCATCTCTTCTCTACTTGTTAGTCAATATGGCACAAATAAAGCTTTTTTTCCAGAATTAAGATTACATTTTGATTTAGGATCAAAGTAAATGTCATTTTTTTTTCTTTCTGTTAAATGTTGTAGATGAGTAAAACTTCACACATTTAGTTTTATTTAAATGTGTAAATGTGTATGGCTTTGCTCAATATCTTCTAAGAAAAGTACAACAGATGTTTGAAATTGTGTTGCAGCTTAAATCTGTAAAAATGTGTGTGGTTTTGCTTTTTTTTTTTTTTAAAGTCTTCAGTGGTTTTACACAGGTCATAAGGAAAGTATAATAGATGCATTTTTTTTAAAAGAAAATATGAGTTATGCTGATAACTGATAATTATTAGTAGTGGCTGAAAGTTCATATACACATGTCCAAGAATTTATTTATATTAATTTTAATTTTAAAGTGAGCAATTTAAATAATTTGGCCCTCGTCAGTGCCTTTTCCCCATTGAATAAAATATGTTCTTTAAGTTTTTACACAGTAAAATTGATGTGGTCGGATTATAAAATATAATCGAAGGGGCTAGTAGTAGCAGTAGTAGTTTAAAGATTGTATTTTCATGTTGATTTGGTTATCAGTGTTTGAAAGAATCTCCCTAGTTATATCCACTGGAAATGACCAGAGAATTCACTTTAACCTTATAAGCTGTAGGACTTCCGTCTGAAGTGCAGCACTTCTGGTGCAGATGGTAGTGTGCATTTACAGAGGGTTTCCTTACAGCTCCTACCAACTAAAGAACCTGCTCAGGCTCACCCGATTAAAAGCAGCAGTACAGAAGACACTTCTCCGTCACTTTTAAATTATTTCTTGACCCTGATGACTAGCGCTTCGGTTAGTCATGTTCCCCTGCCCTGCTCCTGTCTGTCCCCATACAGCGCTAGAACATGTGTTCGCCTTTTTTGTGATTTGTGTCCTGCCCTGTAGAGTTCTTGCCAACACTTGCACTGACCCTGTCTCCTTGCATCTTCCAGTGATTGTTCTTAGCAGGTTCTCTTTAACATAATCATCTCAAAATCCCCCATGGGTGCTTACCTAACAGATAAGATTAGATGAAATAGCTGAACTGGCATAGCTGTTCCTGCTACCAAAAGAGACAGTCCTGCATTCCTAGAGCACTTTATACCATTGGCTCTGGCTGTTGAGTCAGCCCCTTCATTTGGCAGAAAAATAACAGCAATAAAGAGACATTTTTTTCCTGCCTTGGGAAGCCAATTCAGCCCTATGAAGGACCCAATGAATGTTAGAAGAAAAGCAAGGAGGAGCAGGCTAATAGGAAAAATGGAGAGTGAAGCAGCAAACTGCTCTCTAGGAGGAAAACTTAGAAAAAAAACAAATATTTTTTTTTACATACAATGACTGCCTTCAACTGAATTCTAGCTGAGTTAAAGATGATATTACATAGCGGTACCATAAACTAATATAGCTACAAAGTTTGATTGACTGTTCCAGAATTTTATCCTATCCATTCAGACAATATTCAAAAGCAACTTGAGAGCTGCTGTTTTATTTACATGCAAATTCTTGATTTGGTTTTTCATTCAAACACTAGTGCAAGATGAACTGACCCTGCTTAGTATATAGTCTTCCTACACTAAATACTGCTGCAGCATTTTTATGTGCTTCAAAAGAATACAGAATAGCTAAACAGCATACAAAAAGAGTGAAAAGTTCAATCAATCTATACCAGATGTCAACCCAAACATTTTTTTTAAATTGACTGTCAGCATCAGACTGTGGCGGAATAAATCTTGTTTTTTCTTTCTCATTTTTAATGTTTATATATTTAAACAAAGTATTTGAGATCAACTATTACTTCTGTATTTGTCTTTTGTTTGAAACATGATTAAACAAGTTTAAATCTGTTTTGCTAAATACTCTCTTCCATACTGAAATGAAATAGTTTTACGTCGGAATTTTGGAGTGCAATTTCATGCCTACAACAGCAGGTGGCATAATTCAACCAGCCAGTTTAACGATTTAGCTACTGAAGTACAATATAACTTTATGTCAAAACCAGCTTTAGTTTTAAGATTATAATAAATAAAATGTTTAAACATGCAAAATTGATTTGAAAAGAAAGCCGTGACTGCATGATTGTCACGTTATTTCCAAAGTAACCAATCTTTTAAGTGTTCTCAGGTGTGTTAGAAAATAGCCTGCTTTGTTCAAATGTTCAAGAAAAGTAAATACCTTGTTAGAAACTGAAACCTATGGCACTGTGGTCCGAATATACTTATTGGGTCATTTTAGGACTGCATAAAGTTTTCTGTTGCTTTCACCCAGTACCCAGCAGTTTTTATTCCATATAACTGACATATATTGTCTAGCTGATCTTGAATAATTTTTCTTTCTAGTACTCTCTCTTTCTTGAATGGTAGTAGACCTGTAACAGAGCAGTCTGGCCATTTTATAAGCATTTTATTTAATAACAATGAAAGACAAGGTAGGAAAGTAAAAAAATTCTTATTGTTTTGTTTTCAGCCAAGGATCTCATTCAAATGGGTCATTTGGTGCAAACCTGCTGACAATACCAAAACAAAGATCATCTTCTATGACACTGACTCATCATATAGGTCCCAGGCGAGCAGGTAAGATCATGCAATTTTTTTAGCTTAGTGGCAGGATGTCAAACCAGTAGTACATCATTTATTACAGTTGGGTTTTTTCATGTAAATGCAGTACTAAAATAACATCAGCATGTTGCATATATTTAAAAAGTATTTTATTTTAAATCTGCTTCTAAGAATACTCAAAATTATGGTTAAATAGAAATCTCAACTATTCACCTAATGCTACGTAGCTGCCAAATGTTATGACGTTCAGTATGATTGGCTGTTGAAAACTGCAGTGTTGACATGCATTAATAAGGGATTTTTTTTTTTTTTTTTAAGTAATTACACATTTTGTAGTGGAACAGTGTTGCTTACACTCCTAAATATCAGATAGTCATCTTAAATATTTAAACAGATTTTGGAAGGAGTTGGAGTAGATTTTATTCTAACACTGTCAGTGTAATAGGCTAGTAGATACTGTAACGGCAGTGCTTAAATAATGTGTATATCAGTGTTTCAGAGATTGTAACTGGTCTATTTGCCCCTATTAAGTGAGAACTTGAAAACTAATTCTTTTGACATTTCTGCCCATGCATTTTAGTATGATTTAAAAATAACCACCTGTCTAAAAATTTTGGTTTATAATATGCAGGTTGGATTGAGAGAGATGAATGCATCTTTTTTTTTTTAAAAGCAAACACACACCTCAGCAGTTTTCTCTGTATTACTTACTGATGGTTTAAGTGTTTTCTGTTCACTCTTCTAAACAAGAAACGTGCAGACTCAGGCCAGATCCACATGTAAACACATTGTTGCACATTCTCGATGGTTCTGTCTTCATAAAAAGCTGGGCTGCCTTCTGCACTTTACTATTTTGAATCTTGTGGAAAATACAGAGCGCAGTGATATGGATTAAAACCTGCTGAATGTGTACATGTAAAAAGGATGAAATTAAGTAACCAATATGTAGTTACAGTTATCAATAAGGAATTGGTTTTGATAATTTTTTTTTCCCTGGAAAACCTAAAAAAGCAATCCTGAATCAAAAAAGGAACATGTAAAGTTTCATCTACTGATTAAATTTTTCCAACGCTAAAACCAACCCAAAACCTTGTAACATCTGTCTTTCAAACAAGTTGCATAGTTTGACCATTCACATGTGTAGCTTAGACTGCTGCATGGTTGTAGATCTCAAAACTTTGAATTGATCTAGCTACTTTATAGGTGTTTAACAGTGTGAACTCAACACCATATTTTGAAAACTTGCACATTCTCTACAGTTTATAGAAGTTATTGTTTAATATCAGTCTTTATAAACAGTAATGTTTTATTATAATCTGAACCCAATGTAATGTTTGTTTTGGAAGGTGCTTCTCCTGGTCTGAGTCCTGTGGGTTCACCTAGTCACGGATCTGTCTCCAGTGGGGCTTTCAGCAGCTGGTCACCTGTAGAATTTCCTGATACTGCTGATTTTCTTACAAAACCAAGCATTAATATACATAAGCCTCCAGGATACACACTTACTTCTCCAGACTTTCAGCAGCAAGTTAAAACACCTGTAGGTTATATGTGTAGCAGGTACTGTAAATTCTGTAACATTTTCAGTAGCTTACAATTAAAGTTTAAAAATATAACAAGATGTATACATCTACTAGTACTGAAAAAAAAGGCATATGCTCTCATAATCCAGAGACTAAAGAATGCTTTATGTATGCCATTGATTTGAAATGACTTATCCATGAAAGCAGCAGTTGAGTAACAATGTTTTGCAGATTTTTAAAGGAGGACTTCCTATCTCAGAACTGAATTCTGTAGTTCTGAATACTTTCTAAACAATTAGCTCTACTTCATTAATTTATGGAGGTGATGGTGATTATTTTCTAAGTACAGACTAAATCTTTGCTCAGTTTAGGAACAAATACTAAGGTCACTTGGTGGAGGAACCTTTAAAAGCATGCCTTTTTAAGAAAAGTAATTTGCAGATATTTTTCAGTACAATACAGCAGTAGCAAAAGAAGAAAATTACTGAATGTTGTAAATATTTTTCATGTATTCTGTAAGCTGTGGACGTCAGATACTCAAGCCTGTTTCAACACCAGAACCAGAATTTGCAGAATATAAAGACAGAAGATCAGGTGGGATTTCAAAATAGACAAATATTTGATATCAACTTGCTTTTTTTTAAGCCAATTAAATTGTTTGTATTTCTACATGAATTTTTTCTTATACTTTAAGTAACTTGTATGCACATATTTTATTTTAGTTTGTGACTTAGGGTAATCAAGATAATATAAAATATTGCCTGCTTCAGAGTAAGGATTAGGCTTCCACTCATCGCTTTATAGTTCTGTACTCCATATATCAAACAAGTTCCGTGCCATCTCACCTAATCGCTGAACCAATTTTTGCAAATAAACGTTACACTTCTAGCTTTTATCAATCTTTAAAAATCTAATAAATTTTGGCCTTCACAACTTTTGTGTTGTTAAATTTTTAAATAAAAATGGTTTAGAAACAAGTTATCACTTATATTTCTGTGAAGAATCTGTATAATCAGTTCAAGAATTATTAGACAGTAGTAATTTACAAGTAAATTTTTGATATAATATTTATGTATGTATTTTCTTTAAGGTGAAATTGGAAGTGCTAGTGTTCCAAAAGAATCTTTCCACCATACGGAGAAGAAAAAAGATGAAAGGAAGGAAATGATCGATCAGACACAAAATAATCTGCTTGTAAGCATGTAATTGCAAAAAACCTTGCAATAAATTTTATCAATACAGTATTTCTTTATCATTTCTAACATGCTGTAAATAGGTCTTTTTATTGCTAAAAATAATATTTTCTGAAGGGAAATGGTGCATTGTTGAATTCACATTTTCTTTTAACAATTGTCTATTTCCAGCTTGCATAAATTCCACTAGCAAGTGACAAGAAAGATAGTGATTGTATTAATTTTTTCTTTATCAGAACTAATTTGTGTAGATTTAATGTTGATAGTATGCTCAAGCACTGATTGACTAGTGTTTTCTCTTGGAAGTTTATGAAAGAGGTGGCAGTTTCAGTGAGACTTACAAATGAATGTTTGTACAGTCTAGTATATTGGAAGTGCAGGGAGACAGATGGTTTAAGCTTTACTAACATTTTGGGTTTATACATCAAATTTTTTCAAGCTTGTTCAGTTAATGAACTGAAGTTCAGAATATGTTTTGTTAGCCTATGCATATTTTTGCTTTGTTTTATTAACTTATCTTGTTTAAAAAGAAATATGAATGAAAATTCAGCACCAGAATCTGCTGCCCCAAAACTTGAAAAGTCAAGCCCTTCACTGTGCTGTTTGTACTATACATTTGTGATTTTCTCAGAGCTATAGTTACAGCACCATTCAATAAGCTTAATAATGATTTATCATTTTCATGGCTTTTTTTGCCAATACAACCTACAAATTAGTTCTCATTGTTATTTTAGAGATGATAAAGTATCTTACTTTCATACAGGTAGAGCAGAGTCCTGCATTAGAAAGGTTATTTGACCATAATTCACTAATGGAGAAGATGAACAATTGGAATTTCCAAATTTTTGACCTTGTGCAAGAAATGGGAGACCAGTCTGGAAGGATCCTTAGCCAGGTTTGTTGTCTTTTATTATATGGGGGTGGGTGTGTAAAGCTGTCATGCTTATATATTTTATTTAAACCATGAAGAAGTTTTGCAGTCAACATATATATGAATGCTAACTTGAAAAACAGAAATATGATTTCTCATGTATCCATCTCTTTGTAAACCATAAGAAGTGATTTATCTATAGAAAACTTGCTCCAGATTTTCTGAATTCTGTTCTCAATGTAAAAATAGGTTAGATTCACACATGCTAGGTTTTGTAGTAATATGCCATTTCCTATGAAAAATTGTCTCCTGCTGTCAGAATTACTACTTTGTTTGTCAACCATTTCTTTTTTCTTTATTTCAGTAAAATATTTCTGCCAGAGCTACACCTGTGGGGGAAGAGAAGTGATCTTTTAGGCAGTCTTTTGCCTCTTGATCCTACAAACAATGGGATTTTTTTTCCATGCTGCTTTCTGCATGTAGTATCCCTTTTATCTCTTTCTGACTTATTACTAAGCTCTTTTGTGCAGTTTCATGTTGTGCTGAAGCCAATCTACTGGCAGGTGCAAAAGTATGATCCTGTTTGCTCTTCCCCAGCCTCTCCCATTCATCAATGTCATCTGGAAGCTTCTGTCTCTTTCTTTATACTGGATTTAGCAATCATGGAACTATAGTATGAGCTGGATTTGCTTCTAATCTGATCACAAAATATTTTTATTGCCAGTGTCTTAGTTTCCTCCCCTGGAGGAGAATGCATGTTACTCTTGTTCAAGTGTAGTGTAGAAACAATCAGCTGGAGAGAAGGAAATGGGTTAGAAGCACTCAGGTGCAGTTGGAAAAGTAGGCCTGCACCTATGCGAAGACAGGAAAAAACCAATGGGGATAATTTAATTTTTGTCATTAGACACTGTCTTTTCTTTCATAATACACAGTGTTCTGGGTATTGTTTTAAATCTTCAATTTGTCTTGTTTGATCAAATGTTTTCAGGTCTTCTGTCACCTCAGTTAGTGACAACTGTTAATGTACACACTAGAATGCCACAATCCACTTCAGAGTGGTGTTTTTACTGTAGTATGCTAGTACTCTGTGATCCACATTAGCTTGCATTTCATTTGTGTGCAATCTAGGGGATAGTTAAATATGTAAGTATTTAAGTGGCCAGGTTTCTACTTAAGTCTACCAGAATTTCTGTATCAGTTCTTCCTGATATTGTATATATGTGTACTACTTGTCCTTCTCCTCCTCCCACCCCAGTCCCTTTGTCTGTTGTGCTGCAAGCATCTGATACATATCTCACTTAAGAGCCAATTAAAAACAGTATTTTACCATCATCAGTTGTAAGGTTCTCAGATTGGGTATGTGTAAGGGGAGTGGTTGGGACAGGTGGAAGGAGGGATCTCCCCTTATTTTGCTCTCATGTTCCTTTGAGCACCTCCCACACTTCAGAACTTATTCTTTCTTTCAAGTGTCTGGTAGTGAAGTGACAAAAATGAGTAGTAGTGACTTGTTCTGAAAAGCTTTCTTAATATTTGCAGTCTCAGGGGGATTAGGTTGTTGTAGTCACTAAGTTCTACTTGCAAACCATAATATATTTGCACAATATATAGATGTGTGGGTGTTCTGAGTATATTTTTGAAATATTTTTTTCATTTACTGGCTAGCTTTGTTAGAAATACACAAGTCATAATGAATAAAAGAAATAGGATTTCTTTGCCAAAGTCTCAAAAATAAATAGTGTTGGGGGTTTTTTATATTAATGACTCTGCTACTATAGTTAAGTAATTTGAATTTTTGAATAGTAAGTAAGAATATAGATTTCTTCTTTTTAGGTCACTAATGGAATAAAGCATGAGTTCTTTAACATGAAAATGTTGGAGGATATTATTAAAAATAATCAGTTGTGCATAGGATTTATCAGTAAAGAAATAAAAGCTTTTATTATTCTGTATTTGGGAAGATGGTAAAAATCTGCATTTTTGTGCTTAAAAAAATCATTAAACATATCCCTATGACAATAGCTTTTGGATAATCTTTAGTGGAATTTCAGTAATTTCCATCCCTATCAGCAAGCAAAATTTTAAAGCCAGGATTATTTTTAAAGTTAAAAAAGCAGAATATGCTTAGGTATATTTTCCAGACTAAAATTTATTTTAATATGTATTTAGGTAACTTATACCTTGTTTCAAGACACTGGTTTGTTTGAAATTTTCAAAATCCCAACTCAAGAATTCATGAATTACTTCTGTGCACTAGAAAATGGCTACCGAGATATTCCTTGTAAGTACTATCCAATTACATGTGTGTTTCTTTTATATTAGTTTATCTCCTTTACCACGCATATTAGTTTAATGTTTACTAAAGAGGTAGGCAATGTCTGAATTTAGTATATTATTAATTAATGCATTTGTCAGAATTTAGGATTGATTTAATGAATTGCAGCAAGAAATTGGTGGACTCCAAAACTATAAGATTGAGTGGTTGAATCAAAAACATACTGAAGTCAATGGGAGAATATTTGTTGAGGTGGGAGAAATTTAGTTTAGGCCCATAATATAATAATAAGAAAATATAGAATTTTGATAGCAGTTATTAATTTTACTGTTTAGGGCAGCCAAATTTATTGGAAAACAAACCAAAACAAAAACCACACACATGCACCCACCCACCCCCAGTGTCACGATGTTTGCAGCAACTCAGGTGCTTGTAGGTATCAGATTGGAAGCAGTGCTCGTGGCTCACCATCACTGATTTAAAAGGCTACTTAATGCCTTCCCGACTCTTAGATAGGATGAAGGATGTTTGGATTTAGAGGATGGGCTTAGAGGATGTTTGATGATTTTCTAACTTGTTTCTTAAAAACGTTCAGTGATATAGCCTCTACTAACAATTTAAATTCAATTTTTCCTCCATATTTAATCAAAATTGCCCTTATAGTAAATTTGGTACACTACCTTTTTTGGGGGGTTGTTCCTTTTGATTATATTTCAGATAATATTTTTGATTATATTTTGATAATTTTCAGATCACAATCGCATACATGCCACAGATGTTCTTCATGCAGTATGGTATCTGACAACACGGCCTATTCCTGGATTTCAGCAAGTTCATAATGAGCATATAATGGAAAGTGATATGGGTGTGTATTCACATAGGTTATTTTTTCTTTTGCTGTAAGAATATTTTAATGAAACTACAATAGGTAAAACAAATTACTCTGGAAAAAAATATCTAGTTTTTCTTATCACTCAAATATATTTTTTTTTTGTATTTTAATATAAGGCAGTAGAGATACCACAATGTTAGTATGCACCATTCAGAACTATCATGCAGTATATTTTTAGAAAAATTATTAGATAAGTAGTGGTTAGTTTGTTAGCCAAGAATAAGGTTCACTTAATAAATTTTCTATGCTGAATGAAACCTCTGTATACTGCTACAGTCAGCATATTTTTAGCATTTGAAATACATTAGACTAATATTTCTTAACTTTATTGGGAAATCAAACAGACCAAAGAAAAAATAGCAGAGTCAAAGTATTTAACTTAATTGAAGTTCTCATTAATGGTTTTAGTGTAAAAATGAGTAGTTCAGAATTCTGTATTTGATATCACATGCAGACATTCAGGCATTGAAGTGACTACCCTAATAATAACTACATAGGAGCATCCATGAAAGAGAAATAAAGACTTCAAATTCAAATTTTGTATGATGTTAGTTCTAATGAAGCTTGCTCTTGTGATATCTGTGACTTCATGGAATTAACTTTTAAATTTAGATTTGCAGTCTTTACTAAAATATATACTGTGAGTAAAGCATAATTACTCTAATTACACATTTATACTAAAATGTATATTTAAGAAAAATAAAATGGAGAACTCAAACACTCTAAGTACTGTTTTATGCATACGGTAGAAAAAGACAAGATGCAAGTCATGTGGCTTTTAAAGGGTTGTAATTTTAAGTAGTTTGTAAACGATACAGAACATCGTACAATGTATGTTATTTTTCCCTTACTAATTAGCCCCTCTGCTGTCACCTTTCTCTTATTTTCCAAGTTTGTCCATATCCATCGATTGCACCCTATTGCATTTTCTTTCTCTGTGTTAAAAGTGTTGGGACTGGAGACCTGACTGGAGGAAAGAAAATTATAAAAATCCTTTCACAAAAGTAAAAACAAAATAAGAAATTGTAGTCTTACTGCTTTTGAACTCTTCCAGTATAAATGTTACTAGGATTTTTAATCCTGGCTTACTCTATTAAGGCAAAAGAGCCCCTTTTTATTATGCAGTGACAAAATAAGTACTATTGTGTTTTTCAATTTTATTTTTTTTTAAAGTAGTGACTTTGTCCAGGGGGAAGAGGAGAATAAAACTGTGAGTCTCCTTATCATACAAGTATTTCTAACTGAATGGGTTTAGTTCCTTTTGCAGTAGTTTCCACACCCTGAGTTTTTACTATAGGTCTGCAAGTTCAAGAAATGGGCAAATTACAGAAATACTAAGGGAGATGCTGATTGATCCTTTCTTGGCCTTATTAAGGTTGGAGATAAACTGTAGAATGCTGCTTTAGTGCTGTCATTTTAAGAAGGGAATGAAATTCCAGGTCTGCACAACAGCAGGAAGTCTTCAGCAGCATGACAGTAAGGGGAAAGCAAAGAAGTGACAGAGACCTTAACAGTGATAGGTAGCCATCGATATCCATGTGGTTTTTCCAAGATCTGGAGTTTGGACTCCCATGGACATTTTTGCTAGTTTTTCTGCTTCTCTTCATTCCCTCTCATGGAACCTACAAGTGCATTTTATATCGTTGAAAGCTTAGATTGTTATGGTTGCTTTCTAACGTAAATGACAACTCTACTGCAGTCAAGAGACATAGACTAGATGTCCAGTGGCCCTCGTTCCACTAGATTGCCTTCTGTGCCTGCTGAAGCATTCCTCCGAACCAGCCTTCTGCAGAACAAGTGAACTGTAGTTGTAAAGAGAGTGACTTCCTCTAGTTTATGTCTTCTAAGGCACCATACAGTTTCAAGGACCAAGGCAAATCTTTTCTTTCTTCCTCTCCTCTTCCAATGAGAGAAGTAAGTGTGGATATGTGCCCCACACATACTGCAACAAGTGTAAAGTCTAAATTTCTTTTTCTAAAGTTGCACAGCAAGAATGAGTTCTGACTGTGGTGAATTAAAAATATTTCTTTTTCTGGATTATGACTGTTCAAAGCTCTTCTGAAAGTCTCCTCTATTTGTGTGAATGATAGTTATCCCTCAGCATTGTAATGGGGAAACCTTCTCTGAAAAAATGGATCCTGAGGTATATCTGTATGTACTACTAGATAAAAATCGGGTTTAGAACAGGAACATTCCACCTGCCAGTTTTGGGGCACTTCTTAAAGGCTCCACAATGTCCCGTAGGATTTTGCCTGCCTTGTGTAATGTCTTAAAATAGCTGAAGCTTTTTATGTATTTGTAAGACTACATCTCCCCTTCTGGACATCTCATGTGGCCATGACGGATATTTGACTTACTGGCATTTTGACTTTTCTTCAAAATTGTTGGTTTATTTATAAGAACAGTATGACTTTTTTTTTAAAGCATGTCTGTCTTTGCCAATTATTCAGCTCCACAATTACAAGGATAATTATGATAAGATTATGTTTGCAATGGTATCTGGCTGAGTTATTTTATTCTTATTTTAATACATTTTAAATAATGTTCTAAAAATATTTTATTTTTGTATTTTCAATTTTCTTAGATGAAGCCAGTGGTATTGCCCCTGTTAAAGTCAGCTATATTTCTTCAAAAAGTTGTTCCATTGCTGATGACAGTTATGGTTGTCTGGCGTCAAACATTCCTGCTTTGGAATTGATGGCTTTATATGTAGCAGCTGCCATGCATGATTATGATCATCCTGGTCGTACAAATGCTTTTCTAGTGGCTACAAATGCACCTCAGGTAAGAAATTCCTTAATTAGAAAATTATTTGTCTGTATCTGAAATCAGAATAATGAAACTTTTTTTCTTCTATATCTGTACTGTAGCCTGTTGAGGATCATTTGTACAATTTAAGAAATGGGGAAATTAATTTGTACTTAACTTGCATAACACTTTTTTTTCCTGATAAATTCTGATGTGTTTTGTACATACTGGTTGTGTGTGTATGTGTGTAAAAATAATCTTCAGTTTACAAAATTGAAAATAACATAAATCAGTGCAGGTTAAAGATTATTTCATAGAAAGTTGGCCCTAGGTCTGTCTAATCAGCTAATTCATGGCTAGCTTACATTTTGGGAGACCTGAAATCATAGTGGTGTCTTCAATTACCATAAAAACACAGGTTTCTCTAATAGTCCAATTAACTGCATTGCTTAATCTCTGTATTTCAAATTAGTCCTTTATGGTGAATAGCCATTACTTTAAGGGAGGGTGAGTAAAAAAGAAATCAGCAAGGCATCCTTGCTTTTATCTCCCATATTCAACTTTGTTGTTAGAACAGAGAGTAGAAAGAATGGAGATGCTATGCTCTTCAGGGTCTAAAAGGCTAAGACAAAAGAGGTAAAGGAGAGTAAAGGTAAACAAAATAGCAGATAAGAGAATAAAAGGGGGGGGGGTAGGGAAGAATTGGAAGGAAAAGCACTGAAGAAAAGTTGTCTAAACTGCATGGTGAAATATTTTTATCTAAAGAGTGGAATATTATCTGGGAAAGAATATTTGTTATGGCTATTTGGATGTCTCTTAATGTTAAAGACAAGAAACTTAAATAATAACATCATCAACAACAGCAACAGTAATAGTAAATCAGAAACCAATACAACTTGTCCCTACATGGAGACTTAAAAAGTGAACTTTCCAGTCAGTTTTCAACAATTCCTTATTGCAGAAAAAGTTGAGAGTGTAGGCAGTTGTGTACTGCTGCTGAAAACAGTACACACAGAAAAATAAAACCAAACAATACAGACATTCATCTCCAATTTTCAAAAATATACATTTTAATTATCTCTTCCTTTCCTCAAAATATAAAGATTATTTTTGCAGTTTTCCAAAGATTATTTTTCAGGTCCTATTTAATCTATATTCAGTTAATAATTTTCTAGGATGTTTTGGATAAACATGGGAATTGTGAATAAAATCCACTACTGTTTTAATATTTTAGTTAACTCTCTTACAGTTAAAATGTATTCATCAGCATTTAATGTAGCACATTGAAAACTAGTGATACCCCACACCATTTCTCATTATCTACAGTTCTTGTATGCTTTGGAGTTATTTTTGGGTTTTGTTTGTTGGTTGTTTTTTTTTTTAACTATACTGGAATTCAGAGGACTTAAAAGCATATACTTAGATGTGGTTTTCGGTTTGGGTTTTTTTCTTGGTTTGTCGGGGGGGTTTTATGTCAGTGTATACTCCACACGTACTGCCAAGAGTGCAAAGTCAACACTTCGTTTCTGTTTGTGTGCCTACAGTGTGAATGTAGGTGTCATTAAGGCATTGTTAAGAACTTCTAAGGAAAGAAAAAACTTTGCTCATTTTCTCATCTGCCATTTTTATTTCACTTTAACCCTCAAAACTAGAAGGCAAAACACCATTTCCAGTGTTTTCTTTTTTTGAATTAAGACTTGCTTCTAACTAGCCCTTAAGCTTCAGAATATTTAATTATCATTTTAAATCTTTACTCTGTCATTTATAATTTTTTTTTTTTTTTGGTAGGCTGTTCTCTACAATGACAGATCAGTCTTGGAAAATCACCATGCTGCTTCTGCCTGGAATCTTTTCTTATCACGACCTGAATACAACTTTTTATCAAATCTTGATCATGTAGAATTCAAGCGTTTTCGTTTCTTAGTGATTGAAGCAATCCTTGCCACAGATCTCAAGAAGCATTTTGATTTCCTTGCAGAATTTAATGCCAAGGTTTGTTACATTTTAGTGTCTGCATTGAGCTGTTGCTACTCAGTAGCTCTTAGTATTAATGACTTGCTTCTAAATTTTTATATTATTTAAAATTCAGTTATTAAAAAATGCAAATAGAGTATTTCCTTTGTACAAACCAGTTGTAGATTGTTTTGTAGATTGCTAATAAGCCTAGCAGATGTGACATAGGGACCCACAGGAGACCTCAATCATACCTCACATTTCCATCTTCTGAGAGATAGTAAATGATTTTTTTTTTTTTTTACTATGTAAGACAAAAAATTATATCGAAAAATGATGCAAGTGTCTGTTGTGCAAAACCTGAAAAAAGCCAAACACTGATTAATAACTTTAACTTACATTTTTAAAATGCCTGTGCTCAATCCAGGTCAGTGATATCAACAGTCATGGTATAGAATGGAGCAATGAAAATGATCGCCTGCTGGCCTGTCAAATATGCATCAAGCTGGCAGATATTAATGGCCCAGCAAAAGATAGAGAGCTGCATCTGAAGTGGACAGAAGGCATTGTTAATGAATTTTATGAACAGGTGCGTATGGAAAGCGTAATTTACTAGGTTTTAGTTACAGGCTGATGATCAATTCTTTGCATTACCAAATGTATAAACATTATTCCTTGTGTTAATCTTCAGGTAAGGTATTTCCATCTTCTTGTTCTGAATACTGAAAATTTGTTTTTATAGGTAGCATACAATCATAATCTTTTACTTCCTATCAATTGTATTAGAAGCTTGAAAACAAGCTCCCTGCTAATGCTGTCTGCTTTCATATTGGTTTGTGGGTTGTTTTTTTTTGTTTGAGGGGGGGTGGGTTAGGATGATGCTGATAAACAAAAACACCTTCTTCCCCTTTGGGAAGTTAAGTTCACTGGTATGTTTCCAGGTCAAAGAATATGTATATAAGACTGCAAATGTATATTCAGCTAACTGTTAGTGAAAGACAGAAGATATTTCAAAACTTTCAAAATTACATATTAAAAATACACAGTAGTAACTAACAGTATTAAAATGTAGATACAGTTTTTACAGTGCAACTTTGATAAAGAAACCTATCAAGATTAACTGGAAAAAGGTCTGAAAATTTGTTGCCTATTTCTACATTTACAATTTCTGCAAGTTCCCCAAAATATATTCTACATTTCTACCATTGTTTTTCTGTAGTCAGCTTTCTGAGAAGGTAACTATTTATGAGGCATCAACCAAGGATTGAAATATATATTTCAAACTAAGAAGATAAAAGTAAACAACAAAATCACTTGGGAGATTTAAGCAACAACAATAATAATCTGAAGCTGTTACACCTACTGTAAAACCTTAATATTCTAAGTTGCTCCTTTAGGAAGAAGGTTTTTGTAAAACTATCAGGTCCACAGAAGTGCTGAGATAAGTGATTATAAATTGAAATTGTACATGAGCAATTTTTTCTCCTCCAATTTATAAAATGGGAAAAAAAACCCAGACCAAACCATTTTATTCTGGATATTATAGTTACGGCTTTTGGGGAAAGCCATTTACCGGAATGCCTTACTCTAGCTCATTGCTTTCCCATTTTCTCTGTTCATCAGCTGAGCAATTGAAGTCAAATCTCTGCCTACCTGAAGCTGTCCTGTAAAGGCAGAGGACTGGCAGCCGCAGTAGAACTAGTCTGCATCCATGCACAAGGGAATTATGGGCTATGCAAGTCTGAGACATAATGTGTCTTTATTTTAAATTGGCCTACATTTTCATTCACTTAGTCTATAATATTACTGCCTCTAGTAAAAAGATACAATCCATGTGATGTTTATGTGGTTTCTTAAAAGTAATCTTTAAAATAAAAATGTAAAGTTAATTTTGTGAGAAGTTCAGATTTTTTTTTTCTACTTCTTTTTTAGGGTGATGAAGAATCAAGTCTTGGATTACCTATAAGTCCCTTCATGGATCGTTCTTCTCCACAGCTTGCAAAATTGCAAGAATCTTTCATCACTCACATAGTTGGCCCCCTTTGTAATTCCTATAATGCAGCTGGGTTGCTTCCAGGGCAATGGGTTGAGGAAGAGGAGGAGGATGCAGAAAGCACTGAAGATGATGATGGAGCACAGTTAGAGAGTGATGATGAAGAAATGGAAGATGATCTTATTTTAAGTAAGTTTCTCTATTTCAATTGGTGCATATGGTTTGTCATTTTAATAGATTCAGAGACAGCAATGATTGAAATTGTATAGTACAAATATTGTAGATTTTGCGATTATGTTGCTTCATTAATTTTACTCTTTTAATAAAATTTTGGTTAATACCAGACTTGCAATTTGAAACAGAAACTCTTTTGCCATGTCACTATTTAAATATTCCGAATAGGCATCTGTGTGTTTTGCTCAAACTTGCATCTTACATTTGCATCTTGCATTTGACATTGGTTTTGTATATGCTAACTACAATTAGTTTGAATCTCAAACAATCAAATATGCTTTTAATTTTACAGAAGCTCAAACAAAAAAAGGTAGACGAATATTTTGCCAGCTAATACACCACCTCAGTGAAAATCACAAAATATGGAAAAAAGCGATTGAAGAGGAAGAAAAAAATAAAGCTGAAGGAGCTAAACTGCTGAATGAGATCTCATCTTTACCTCAAGCAGATGAAATTCAGGTTATTGAGGAAGCTGATGAAGAAGATGAGCGACAACTAGGAGAAGACAAGACATGCTAAGAAAACTTCAGTGGTTTCCAGTATGATAATAGCCTATTTTTTTTTCCACTGTGCTGACTTTAGCCTGACACAGTTCACATAAAATTGAAAGGCCTTAATACTGTGAGAGGATTCTTTCTACTCTAGTGGAATCCCACTCCTATGCACTTTCTCCACACAGAATATGAAACTTTATTCAAAGATTGAGTATTGTATAACCCGATGCAAAGTTCTTTATGCCTTAGTTGGTATAAAATATCCTGATATAATGCTGCCTTGCTGAATATGGAACTCTTATTTTCCTTGAGGTACCTGCAATTTTTAAAAACATTCAGTGACTTTGATTACCAAAGTGGCAAGAACTTTTTACTAACAAGGAAATGTGGGAGGAATCCGAATATTGTCTTGAGTTGTTTATTTCATGTTGTTTTTGAACATGAACGAGAAAAAGTCTGTGCCTATATGAAAATTATGTTACTGTTGCAGTGCAAGCCTGTTGTGGGGTGTCTACTTAGTGCAGTAGTGTGCTTAATGTAGCCATCTCAGAGCAACTGTTCAAAGACTGTGACATAAATGCTGAATTCTGATATTTGTGGTTTAAAAAAGAAAAGAAAATCCAGGTGCATCTATTTCTGATGCTTTTTATTATTGTGCATAATCCAGTGTTTTATTTTTGCAGAAAATATTCAGGTTTGCAGTGGGTGTTAATGATAATTCATTGAATACAAGGCCATTATCATCTGTTGCCTTGCTGGTTTGTGGTAGAACATTAAAAATCTGTTCAGCTACTTAAATTATTAAGGAATTTTATTCTTTTAGTCATAATGCTATTTTTCCTGCCCTTACTCAGGTTCCTGTTTAAATACAAGTCAATACCACATCGTAGACTTTTATCTTGCACCAATTTCTGGTATTAAATTTTAAGGAAATAAGATCATATTTCATTTATTCTTTGTATGTAAAACTTTAGGAGAATTAAAGATTTTTTTTTTTAAAAAAAAAAAAAAGAAAAGAAGACATAAACTACTGTTTCAAAATGGCTAGTGTATTTTAATGGGCCCCCACATCATTTCTTCCATCACAGACATAGCTTATATTGCCTTCAAGTTTGATGTACATCCTGAAATATACTACAGAAAGTGGAACATGATAACTTCGTGTAAAGCCTTATAGTAAGATAAACATCACTATAGTATATTACATTTAGATTGTTGAGTTTTTAAATAAGAAACTTAGACATTCCACACAAATGTATTTTTAGGAACACTACCATTGTAGGTCTAATTTAGAAAAACAAAACAAAACAAAACAAAACCAACACATAAATTAGGCTACAAGTATGTAAGCAACCCACAAATAAAGCTAGTTTTACAAGTGCACTTTTAGTACTAAACGTTTATATACTGTGCAGTGGAATTGAAAAAAAACAAATGCACATGTGTGCAAGTGGCTAAATGTATCTTAGCATATTTGTGTTTACATCAGTTGACTTGAAAAAAAAGGTAACATTCCTATGATAACCTTGTGTAAATTGCATTGCACTGTTTTACACAGACAAATTTTTATTCTGCTCTTTGATTGGCCAGTTTAAATAACTGAAAGGAGTTCTATTTTTATTTTCCACTAATAAGCTTTTTGTTGATCCATTTAGAAGACCACTGAAACGTGTTTTTGCTATTTTATATATTCAGTGCCAAATTCCCCTTTGCTGCCATTGTTACTATCACTGCATTTTTTGTAACATGAGCAGTGTTAAAACCAGATATTTCTGTCATTAATAAAACGTTGCACTATTGAAGCTGGCACTTACTGATCATTCACTTGTATTTTACATTTGTTGTTCATATATTTTCCTAACAGACAGTTTGAAGACTACAACGATTATACTTGTTTCAGTATGCCGTATTCTCAGCATTTTGTTTAGCCTATGTGTTTGTATATAAAGAATTCACTTTAAGACTGTTTAGTTTCATTTTGCTTTGACTGAAAAATGATGAAAATGAGCTTGTCTATAGTTACTGTTATTTATTTTACATGACAAATTTCCATTTAGGTTTCCTTTTAAAAAAATATTACTAATATAAGGAAACAATAAGAAGGTAAAGATAACATTTTCTCTTTTACTAAAGCATTGGCAGCAATTATATCTGGTGACAACTTTTCCAGCAACTTTCTTATCTCAGGTTTCCTTTAAAATCTTTAGAAATACTAAAGCAATTTTAAAATTCAGAAACAAGTAGCAAACCTCAGTGTTTAATAAACTATAATGCTAATTTGTATTTCCAATTAGATATTTTCAAGTTACAATAGCTTACTTCAAAGATATGTTTAGTTATGAATGTATTCAAAATCTACCTTAAAATATCTGTTATTTATGTATATATAATATCTGACTAATTCTTAAGCAAGGGGAAAAGAATGTACAGATGTCATCAACAGTTGGGTCAGTGCATATTTGCAGAAGTGGATGTAACTGTAACTGAAGGTGTCTTAATCTTTCAAAAAAAGTAATAGGGGGTCATTTAGCTGTTGATTGAGCTGTCAGCAGCAATATATCCCCATATAAGGCATATCACTCCTATGCTAGTAACAACCCACTGAGAAATTACAACCAATTTAAATCTGTGATCACACTTCAATTCACAGCTACCAAGGGACGCTAAGGAGCACAGAAAAGCACACAAAAGAACACACTTAAAATACTTTCTAAAGCAACACTCACCCGTTTTTCTTGTCAAGAAGTAGGCCAAACTAGCCTACGCTGAATTTTATGCAGCTACAGGAGATACACACACCTTTTATGAAAAATATTAATATTCTCAGGTTTAAGTAAAGCCTTCATCCCCTTTCCTATCAAAAGTCTCCCATCTCCTCATTGCTTTCTTTTACAATGTATGTTGGATTACTTACTCCTATGTATAGAGTGCACACAGAACTAGAACTGCAGTTTTCAGTAAGGACCCAATTCTCTCCATGCCTCTGGAGACCTCTGGGTGTTACTAAACTACTTGAAATGAACTACTTAGATTCTCGTCCTGTGAGTTTTCCTCCAATGCAAAGTTAGATGGTGAGTCTAAGATTCAAACTGAAAGGCCTGGTGTAACGTTGCTTAAGGTAAGTCCAAATGAACAAAGTTTTCACAAGACCTGATTTTCTCTGTGCATAGAACCATTTCATTTCTCTACTTGTTGCATTAAGTTTTAACCACAACTAGTGGCAGGTGAATCAACAAAAGGAGTTAGCAGAATTCATGAGCTCGGTTTTAGCTTTGGTGTTTCCTCCTGGGCAGGCGTATTTGAGGCTGGGCTTCCGATTCCTTTAAAAGTATACACAGAATTTGGGGTAATTCAGTGTGTGGCACTAACATTCACAGGGCAGCACTTTCCCTTTTGTCCAATAATCATTTGAGAAGGTGTGAGAGGAGCAGAATTGGAAGTGTCACATAGACCGGTGAGTGTGAGATCAGGAATCCCAGTCTGAGAGAGATATTTTGGAGTAAAAGGATGGAATTAGCTGAGATGATGAGAATTAGAAAGGAGATGTAAGGATGGCATACACAAACACATACTAAAAATATGTTACTCAGAAGAGAGACAGTTTATTTCAAGTCAGCTCATTGTCTTCAAAAGAATACAGAAACAGGGTATCTTTTTGGTAAGTCAGAATATTTGGATTGTTAGAAATGAAATTAAAATAGAAATGAAAAATTGTACTACTAATAACAATACAATTATCATAGCAAGTTGTGATGTGAGTTTAAGAAAATTGATTTTTCTGTGGCCCATGAAGATTAGATGAGAGAAAATAAATACATGAATTTGATCAAATGAGGTACAAAAATTATGATCAAGGCAGTATTTTATTTTGCTTTTTTTCCTCCAACTTTCTTCAGAATTGTGTTTCTGGACAACGTCCTTCTTCATGCCTGTGTTAAGGCAAATGAGGTAATGAATTGCTTTCATTTTTGCAGTGAAGGATTTTCCTTTCAATATCTTCTGAAGTAAGCCTTTAACTTATTCTAAGAATCATACTGCAGATTCTCAGACATGAAGCTGCAAAAGAACACAGCTGTTAATTGGTCCCTATCTGGTCTTAATAAGGCCATACACAATTAGTACTTTTGTCCTCTGCTAAATGAGAAAGAATAATGTCTTGTATTTCAGAGGAAGGAGGAAAGAAATCTTATGGACTGTAGCATGAAGATTTCAGTGCACTTAAGTTTCTAGTTGGCAGTGACCCTCCTGGCCTAGTGTGTATCCCCCACATCCTTATGAATCCAGCTATTAGATACATAACGCTTAACCAAGCAATCTGTCTCAATGATTTTGTTGTCCATTTGTTACCCTTGCTTCTCTAAGACATCTCTAGCTTCAACTTGAAATAATACTTCTGGTTAGTCTCATTTCTGTTATCTGCAACACTCCTTAAAAAAAAAAAAAAAAAAAAAAAAAAGTAGAGTAACTAGCAATTGCTTTTTTTGTTAATAATAGCATTAAGCTATAAAAAGTGGTTCCAGTGAGGAAGCTGTTTTCTTTTGATACAGAGATTGAAACATCTGTCCAGAAACTGACTGCCTTTAAATGCTATTGTTGTGATACAGTCAGGATACTGTGTAATGGATGCTTAATGTATTTAAGTGATTGACACTTATTTGGTTCTATGTGACACTACAGCCACTCTTTAAAAAGGGCACAAGGCAGTCAGAAATGTTTGACCGGAAGGTTTCTTTTGGAATCTATACACCGTGAGTCATCTTCTGATTTCTGTACTTCAAGAGATCACAGGTGATAGCAACTGGTGTCTATGACAGGTTCTACTTACGCAGGCTGTATTACCTGTCAGAATGTTACCATCTGTGAAATCTAAGTGAAGAGAGTAAAAATCTTATACAGAGGAGAAACCTTCATCCTTCTGGTTTATTTTTCAGGAAACTACAAATATGTAACGTTAAAAATATAGAGCCTTTAAATAACAGTAAGAGAGCATAGTGTTTCAAATGATTCCTACCGTTCACCTTGTGATTTGTCCATGTTCTAAATATCTTGCCAAAAACCAGGTGATGAGTCACTTCTGACTCATCTCTCCAGATCAGCAGAATCCTTTGCACCTTGAATGAGATCAAAGTCTTTTCATTTTACTTGCATATAAAACAAAGACTAATGCTTAGCTTAAAATCTAAGTATTATACCAAAGATCCAAAGGGTATGCTTGACATTACTTACTGCATATGGGGACCAGACTGCACACTTTGTCACCTGTGCCAGTTAGATGTGAAAACTTGCTCCTATATGTGGTCATTCAGATGGACTTAGTATACCCCTTTTTCTATTATCATGACATTAATCCTACTGGAATTTATTAATCTCAGTGATATTGCTAATTTATCTGACTCTAATAACTAAGCTTTCTCTCAGTCAAAGTAGTGAATAAAGAAGCCCTCCTATTTATCTTTGAGAATAGGTTTGTAATAATTTTGTTCTATTCATCATAAATAAAGCATTACCAAAATACTGTTTCTAATTTCAGATGTCACGCTCCAGGAAAAATATCTGTCCATTAGACTGATTGCAGAATTCCAGTACGGAGCAGTGAGACTGACCAGAAATATGGAATACGTGGCCTAAAGAGA